CACGATAACCATCCTCACGATGCACGTAGAAGCACACTAAGCGTTCTTAGGATGTATTAATGTACTGGAACACTAGCGTTTAAATGGTGTTCTAAGGTATTCATTCTCTAAGAATATCATTTTTTGATTTTTAATGTGATTGGTTTAAATCAAAGTGCAATTCATTCATGGTGTACCTAATTAAAACAGTCAATATTTTTGTAGAATTACGTTATTTGTTTTCACTTTTCAAATATGCAGAAGATGCCTAATGATTCTATGTTATCTAATGTGTATTCATTTAATATCCTATAAAATATTTCCACGTGGGCCATTTCTATTTATAATCACTACTGATGAGCCATATTAAACTTTAAAAAAGCCATTTTGGGTACCGTTAAAATATGAACCTTTTCAGACTTTTTTCATTATTTTTTTTATTTATTCTATTATCAGTCTAGTTTTTATAAATGCAGTACAGTCGCTTATTAATTTGCTATTTAATTTAAATCTTTGCATGTTGAACTCTTTTCCACTTTTAATCAGGATTTCAAATGATTCTTCATGAAGCAGTATAGAAAATTTTCGAGCACCCTTTGTAATAGCTTTCTTCCGTTGCAGATTATCTTTTTTAGCGTTCCTGTGTCGGTGATGAGAATTTGTCAATGCCAGACCATTCGGGCCAAATCATTTATATATCATGAAAGGTGGGGCTTTTAATACAACTATAGGCAGACTGAAAGCTCCTGGGAGCCTTTAATAATAAGTGAGATTAAGCAAAATTGGACATTAATTCTTATAGACACAAGGAAAAGCTTTTAGACAAAAATGCCATTAAATAAGATTAGCTGGAATCAATAGATAAACAACTGCTTCTGCAAGACTTTGTAGATAACCTATGTAAATAACCTGGAGCATATTCTCTCAAGTTTGTTTCCATATTAGTTGAAATCTTCAGAATTTCTGCTGGAAATTAGTTATTCAAAATTTAATTTTGTAAGCTTGGAAGACCTTTTAGCTCGTTTTGTAGTTGCACCAGAGCAATGAATATTTTCAATGTGCATAATGCATTTTGCGTTAAGATTCGATAGTCCTGCCTTTGAAACCGTAGTCATTTTATGTAAAAGTGACTTACGTACATAGAAGTGGTGGTTTTGGACCAAACATTAGTCTACAAATTTAGGAAGCGAAGGAGATTTATTTCATGAAGATTAATTAGAACTTTTTTGTTAAAAAGGAGAAGGAAGCACAAGCATTTAAAAACTGAAATTGAGTAAAGGATTAATGCTGCTTACTGGGAGTTTAATCCGCAGATTTTCCTGAAACATAGTTTTAAAAAGTTATAACGAGGAGATGAGTAACTGCATGAGGTTAAATAAATTTAAATTGTTTAATTAATTTTCAACTGTAAAATTATTTTTTTCGCTTTTTAGTAAATCTGATATTCTTTCACTGAACATTAAGTCTTGTTTTGTTTCAGTGTATGCGTCTTTTTAATTGGTCATCAATATTTTGATGTACAGCCTGTAGTTAATCGTTTGAATATTGATTCGTTAGTTATGACGAAACATGTCAGGAAGTAACTACGTAAAATTTCAGAAGAGGATTTGTATGTATTGGATAATATCAGAGCATATTAGAGTTATCTGAATAAAGGGAGAGATGCCTTTATGGTGGATGTTCTTAAAAACTGGCTAGCAACTACGTTATATATTAGGAAAATCACAAAAGTCTCAAAACGCACATTCGATCGCTGGGTCGAACCACCCGTGTTCAGTGACTTTACTACTGAAATGGCCATTGATGGCCATTTCAACATGGGAATATTAACGGAAACTGATCAGTTTATTTCACTGAGATGATGGAATCCAGAAAATTATACCCAGAACATTTAGACGCAAATTGTTTTCAGAAATAATATATAATGACAGTGAACCGTCTTGGCGATTATCTTCCTAAAACGATCAATAATTCTGAGAACATAAATAAACATAGTTCTTGAACATTATATTTCTAAAATGACCGCACCCACTGAAGACTAAAACGATATGAAATCGTGAATGGTCACATTCAAAAGGATGTTTTAAATTTAACTTTGTATTTAAACATTTCTTATACGTACTTTTGAAATATTATTAAATATTTTCTTATATATATATATGAAAATGGTTTAGCTATTACTTGAACATTTATCACTGTAGTGAACCATTTTTTATTTTCATCAGGCAACCACTTCTAAAACTGACTATGAAATTTTGGTATTAAATCTTACCTTTCTAAGATGACCAGCTTCATTAGCAGTGTATATAGTTTAGAACCCTAAATGGTCGCTAAAGAGGTTCACTGTATTTAGCTTTCCCATTTACTTAATTTTTTATTTCCTGTAGTGAGAATTTAAATTTTTGATTTTATTATTTTAATCATTTTGAACTACTTATTGTCTTTTATTAACACATAAAGAATCATCTCGTAGTAACGTCTTCTGGTAGTGAACAATAATTGGCTTATTGTAAAAGATTGTTCCATGTGTTGATAAATAGGTATTTTAACACGGCTACTGCTAAACTGTTGAGGAATTATCACTTAGAAAATGTCATTTCAGTGAGAACGTTTTAAGAAAAATTGGCTCATACTAGTAATTATAGTAAAAATACTGGTCGCAGTTGATTTATTTCTTAAGTTCATGTTTTAGCTTGGAATTTCTGAATTTTCAGAATACTTTAATTTATTCACAATCGTACGACAAATCGACAAAATACAATTATTAATATTTCTGTCTACTTTTGCCCTCGGAAGTTTTTAATTTGAATTTGAGCTGTTTAATAAGTTAATGTTAATGAGCAGTTAAATAGCTGCATCAGCCGTAAAAATCAAATTACGCGACAATTATGTTCCTTAAATCTCCTACTTTGTTATCCTGATACATGCACCTTGTTAACGTATCGTCTAGTTGTACATCGTGTTAATGAAATAATGTCATGGTTTACGTAGAACTTCCTTTGAACCTCTCAGTTTTCGATTTACAGAATCATAGTTCGAATATCACACTCACCTTGCATTCAGATGTAATTGTTGTTTTAACATGAACTGCTTGCGTTCTATTCTAAACAAATATGATCTTTCTATTAGGTAAAGCACATCCTTTGAATATTTGACCGTAAGACTAAAATTAACCAAAGACCTTATTCTTAATTCACGCATTCCTATAATATCGTTAAGTAAAATCTCTTGTAAGCACCTGTTACTGTTCTTTCCCTAATTAAATTTAGTACAGTTGACAAATTATAATATGCTTATAAAGTACTTAAGTTCTTTTGAATTCATTACACTTTAATCACCCTAGAAACTCCTTTGATGTCAATAATTACTGTGTCATAGCTAAATTAATATTTTTTCCAATAAATAAAAGTGACATGGGATGTATTTTAAACATCATAAATTACTTAATTTGATATGGTGTTTATGACATAATCTTTTAGATTAAATTTAATTTAAAAAGAAATATTTAGGAACAAAACAGGAAGGTTTAAATTTAATTTCAGGAAAGAGCATTCAACTTAAGTTATGGAAATATCCGTTAGACAATACTGTTTCCGTTACACAGAACGTTCTTCACCTTGAGAAGAAATTCATGCGGGTTGTTATTTGTATGACATTCATTGATCCAAATTTAATGTGCGTTCATTACATGAGATAGAATATTGCAGGGTAGAAGTTCAAAACAATTGTCATATACTTATGAAACTACATAATAAATTAATAATGCACATATTTTTTTTACTATCGTAATAAAAGTAATGGCACTCACGTATTATCGCGTCGGCCGTGAAATAATCGCCGAGCGGCATGATTAAGCGCCAATTATGAATAAGCATGACTTAACAACACACCCATAACATCGCTTTCTTTTGATGTAACCCCGATCGTTTCTCGATAAGCCACAGTTTCGTTTTTATGGAAAAAGGTTATAAATAGCTATTATTATCTTTTTTGTCTTGCATTTTGAAAATGTGATCAAAATTTGTGACCTGTCTTCTATAGAATAGGAAGCAGTAGATGTTTTTAAAGTTACGGTATCCTATCGTGAAAACGTGTATATGTAGGATATGGTCAGCCTGCGTATGGTCGGTAAAACAGTAATAAATAGCAATTTCTAGCGAGAAGATTGAACTTCACTATTTAGCATTTTAAACGGAGTTTTCATTAAAATCGGAGGCCCTATCAAAATAGCGGAAATCGACGAAAGCCTTTTCTGGAGAGCAAAAAGAAAACGAATCGAATACTGATTGTTTAGTAAATAAAGAGGCATCAGTTCCTTTAGAATTTCTCTGCAAAGACTGACGCAATTTTGGCAGGATTTCCGTCAAATTTTATAGTTCGATGATAGCCAACTAGAGCACTTGTTCACTCATGAACCATTTGATCTCGCGATCTTTTCAGACCCACTCCCTCTGTTTTAGGCCCACCAGCGGCCGAGCGGTAAAGTCGCCTGAACACTGGTAGTTCGGTCCGAGGTTCGAATCCCGCGAAGGGGCTGACTGCATGGGTGTTTTCGTGGTTTTCCTTATCTGTAACGTGTATACTAGCCAGTTTCCTTAGAAAGTCTTCCACGATGGCATCCCTTTCCTTAGGCAGATAGCCCTAGTGTGCTTTGCCATAATCTCAATAAACCAAATCAAAACAACCCTCTATTTTAGAGATTTTCCATATGAATAACAATTTTATTTGCCCAAAATTGGAAAGCAAGAGCTACTTCCTTTCGGGGTCCTAATTTTATATTAGAAACGACGAATGTGTGTATTGTATTGTGGACTCAGTGTTCATATTTACAGAGTGTTAAGTGTAGTCATGCCTTTGCATTTCAATTCCCCTTTTCTTTGTATTCGCTAACTATTAAAATTTTTAGGATGTAAATTGATGAAAATATCCGAATAATTTGCTCCGGATATCTTCACCTGTATTATTTTATATTCTTTATCTTACTTCTAACTAATTAATCAAGGTAAAACAAAACTGCTTACCTTGTTCCAATGGGTTCGGCCAGGGCCACTGGATGCATTCTTCTCAGGGACTCTATCTGCAAATCTTGAAAGTATAATCCATAAATGATAAACTTTCTTAACACAAACATATTTAATGAAGACGCAAACGGTTACAGAATATTTACACAATGAAAGGTTTAAATGTTCGCACGACGCAGCGTGCGACTTCTCAGTTCCGAGTTCTCGTGATCTCTAGCGAGAGTTTATAGTTCGATATGACGTCACTCAGCCATCGGATCTCAGCAAGAGTTGCAACATCCTCCCGCCCGGAAGGAAAATTGACGTAATTGTCCTTATTACATTCCAGCTCCACCGGATATAGTAATTGCACTGGTCTTTTAATCGTATGTCCATTGGGCAAGCGGACAGCACATGCTCTCACTTTGCCATCTCTCCCAGGAAAGACTTCCATTATGATGCCCATCTTCCACATCAGCCGTGGAATTTTATCTTCATGCACTAATACAATAGTTCCTTTATTCAAACAGGTTCCTGTTTTCGCCAGTTTGGAATGATGAGCAGATTTTAAATTCATCAAATAATCCTGCCTCCATTTTCGCCAGATTCTTTCTACCAGTATCTGTTGATGTCTAAATCGACGTGTAAGACTCTCCTTTGTTGAAGTTAATTTAGAGCTTCCTTTTGGCAATGATAGTAATCGTCTTCCTATTAAGAAGTGACCAGGGGTCAAAGATTCTGGCTCTCCTAGATCCGAGTATGTAAATGTTAAAGGTCTGGAGTTCAATATAGCTTCCACTTCTGTTATGACTGTCTCTAATTCCCTGAATGTCAAGGATGATTTGCCTAAGAGTCTCTTCAGAAGAGCTTTAAGAGACTGAACCATACGCTCTCAAAAGCCTCCCCACCATGCCGCCTTCTCAACTATAAATTTTCATTTGATTCCTTGCTTAGAGAACTCGTCTTGAACTTTATTGCTTTTCATCACCTTATTCAATAGCTCTAATTCTTTTTTCGCTCTTTTAAAGGTTTTGGCGTTATCGGTATACACTATTCGGCACAAACCTCTTCTCGATATGAACCCTCTAAATGCAAGCAAACATTTTTCTGTGGAAAGGTCAGCCGTAAGTTCTAAATGCACGGCTCTGGTTACAGCACAGGTAAACAGTAAAACGTATGTCTTAGATAATTCTTTTCCACTTTTCACGTACAGTGGACCCGCGTAATCTATCCCGGAGTTTTCAAACGGAAAGGCTTCTCGGCATCTGTCTGGTGGGAGAGGTGCCATATCTTGCATGACACTGGTTTAGTTCGAAATATCTTGCAGATGCAGACATTGCAATTGTACAGAACACTTTTAATTTTTCGACGAGCCTTCAGCAACCAAAATTTGTCTCTTATCTGATTTAAAGTATCTGCTATTCCTCCGTGCCCTACCACCTGATGACTGTGAAGAATAATTAGATCAGTCAAGTGATCTTTGTCGGGCAACACGATTGGATGTGCTTGTTTGTAATCCAAATTTGAATTTTCTAATCGTCCACCAACACGAATTACACCACTTTCGTCTACAAATGGATTGAGGGACCTTAGTTTTGATTCTGAACTTAATTCATCGTTGTTCTTCAATGCCCGTATTTCATTTGTAAAATTTCGCTCCTGAACACGTTTGATCCAATAAGTTTCTGCCATTTCCAATTCGGTAACCTGCAAACATCCTGATAATTTCGAGGTATTTTTAATATTGTTGATGAACCTTAAGCACCACGCAGTAATTCGGTAAATTCTGTGTAAATTGCTGTAATTTTGGGTTTTAAATAAATCTTCGGAAGGTTCGGTAACGCATGCATTTACGAAAACTTCCTTTGATGTTTTTCTTAGTTCCTTGTTGGAATCTTCAATGTTCTTTGTGGAACATAAATTCGGTTTTGGCCAGTGTTCCATTTCTTCTTTCAACCACGTGGGCCCTTCCCACCATATGCTATTCTGCTTCAGATGTTTGACATTTTCACCTCTAGTTAGTAAATCAGCTGGATTATGTTCACCAGGCGTATATCTCCAGTTCAAGACATCTGAATTCTTCTGTATTTCCTTCACTCTGTTCTGAACGAATGGCTTCCACCTTTTCACATCACTTCTAATCCATGTAACGTTATACTAGAATCAGTCCCATATATACAATTAAATCAATGTCCCGAAGTTTCTTTTGAATGTAATTTGACAAGCGCGAGCCTATCAAAGCACCCATCAATTCCAATCTGGGAAGTGATAATTTTTTCAAAGGTGCTACTCGTGATTTTGATGTAATGAAACTTGTATGAATGACTCCATTTTTCGAATAACGAAAATACAGAACAGCCCCATAGGCCTTCTGACTCGCATCTGTGAAACAGTGTAACTGTAAACCATCCTTTATATCCCTTTTCCCAGCACCTGCAAACTGATGTCTTGGTATTTCCAAACTAGAAATATGAGCTAATTCATCACACCAGCTTTGCCAATTCTTCTGAGATTTTCTGGTATTTCAGTGTCCCATGCTATCTTTTGTTCCCATAAATCTTGTAATAAAATCCTAGCTCGAATGGTGTATGGATTTAAAAACCCCAGTGGATCAAAGAAACGTCCTACAAATCTCAAGATTTCCCTTTTAGTTGGGTATGTTATCTATCCTTTTGGCATCTTTTACCAAATCTTCAATTTCTATCAAAAATGTATCATTTGACCTATTCCATATGTATCCCAATACTTTAGAACAAGTCGAATCGTGTGTGAAAAATCTTCTTCATTCCATACCCTTTGTAAATTCGTTTCATTCGTTTTCCACTTCCGCATGTTAAAATCCACCTTCTTTCAGTATGCGTTTAATATGTTCCGATTCCTCGAATGCTTCTGATTCTTCATCTGCTCCAGCGATTAAATCGTCAACATACATATTTTCAGTTAGCATGGAAAATACGTTCGGATACTGTAACTTGTATTTGTCAACGTGTACATTAAGAGTTGCTCTGAGAAGAAAAGAGAAGAAACGGACTAGATGTTGCTCCAAAAATTACCCTTGTCATACGAAGAGCCTTTATTTTGGTTCCATTTAATTCACCATCGTTCCATAGAAACTTGACTGCGTTTCTGTCTTCATCAGCAAGAGAAATCTGCAAGAATGCTTGTTCGATGTCAGCTGTAAACGCAATTCGATTTTGACGGAACTTAAGGAGCAATTCCAGTATGTCTGGACACATCTTAGGACCTGAATGTAAACAGTCATTTAATGACAAACAATTCTCCGCATGTGACGAAGCGTCAAAAACCACACGGAGTTTTTTGTAGTTTCCTTGTTTTCTCTTATAACGGCTTGATGCGGCATAAAATACGTTTTTGGTCCAATTTCAATGTTAGTCTCTTCGGCGATTCCTTCTTTTAAGTACCTATCAATTACTTCGCGATATCTGTCATAGAACTGTTGATTATTCTGAAATCTACGACTTAAACTCTTAAATCTAATTTTAGCAATCTCCAGATTATCTCCTAGCTCATTTGAATTATGATTCCAAGGAAGGCGCACAATATAACGATTGTTTTCAAATTTCACAGATCTTTTGAAATTATCGAAAACTAAATTATCTTCTAATTCGAGTTCCTTATCCGAATCATAATTTATCCCCATAGAATCGAGCTCCCAGAGATTCTTCAGCAAACTAGACAGTGATTCGTTCTGTGTATCTTTATTATTATGAACCACAACCTTCATCGTATTCACATTAGTTTGTGAAATTCCGTAAGCCCTTTCGGTTCCACTAATGGTCCAACCCAATTTTGTTTCAACCGCTACTAAGGAATTAGTCTGTGAACCTTACCCGTAACTATCTTCCAATAAAAATCCGCTCCTATCAACAAAGAAATTTTCGGCGGTTTATTCCCTGGTCCCCATTCATCGGAAAGTTGTATGCCCTGTTTTTTAATAAGATTAACTATTTCATTTCTAGGGGAATGAATATGTGATCCATTAATGACAGGAATAATTAAAGCTTCTATTTTGATTTCATATCGATTCTTCGAATTACGCAAAATGAGCCTGGTTTTTTTTAACATTCTGCGCTTCAGACGTCGTGCAGCCGAAAGAGAATATTTTTATTTTTTCTTCTCCAATAACGGAAAGTTTTAATTTCTTACAGATGTCCTCTCTAATAAATGTTCGCTGCGATCCTAAATCAAACAACAAGCGAACGCTTTGCTGGCGCCAATTGCCTGTGTTTATAATTTCAGCTCGTGCTGTCAGAAGAAATGAGTTATTTGCTGTTGCGCGCAATCGGAAACAGAAGAGACTACTGCCCTTTGGACGGAGACTCTTGGACGCATTCGTTTCGTCAGAGTGTATCAATGTATGATGTCGCCGATCGCAAATACCACAAGTTAGTTTCGATTTGCACATCCTCGCTAAATGGTATCCTTTGAGGCACCTGAAACAAAATCCCCTTCGCCTTAACGCTTCCCTTTTTTCTGGCACAGTTTTTTGACATGATTCTGACGTATGATTTTCAGAACAGAATAAACAGCTATTAGATAGTTTTACGCTGCCGCTGAAGTAGTGTTTAACGCTGCCGCTGAAGGAATTCTACCCTTATTATAATCCCGATTTCTTTCGCTGTCTTGAAAACGTTCTCCAAACTGCCGCTTATTTTCCAAATGGGATTTCTTTTCAGTGACTTCAAAATCTGTTGGCTTAATTAAAATCCTGTACGTTCTCGACTTTCTATTTCTTTTCTTAGAAAATGGAGCAAATTCGTAATTTTTGTCTGATTATCATCTTCATATTTCCTATTAAATTCAAGTGCGAAATCATTCGGAATCACCTTTATTAATATCGGATATAATAAGGTACTGTACGAATCCGGTAAAATATTACACGATTCTAATCCTCTAATTTGTACTTCACAACGATCATATAATTTTCGAAGTGCTGTCACATCGCCAAGACCTTTTAACCGGAGTCAGAGTTAATAAATTGTTCATATGGGTATCTATTATTAGTTCTTTTCGTCCGAAGCGATCTTTTAATATTTTCACAGCCTTTTCGTAATTCTCTGCTGTTAACGTCAACCCTTGTATTGCAGTTTCTGCATCGGAAGTAAGAATTGACTTTAAATAGTTGAATTTATCTACTGCATGCAGACTTTCGTTTTCGTGTACAGTTGTTTCAAATCGTGCCCAAAACCTGGGCCAACTGCACACGTCCTTTCCCGAAAATGTTTCTAGGGCCAATTTCGGGAGTTTAATTTCGTTCTGCGATTCAGTGACATTTCCACATGAAGTAGAATTATCGCTATGTGGATTAGCATCTAAATATCTTTTCGCGCGTAATTTCCAAATAATAATTACTTTACTTATACTCTTCTCTAGACATTATCTCATCTTCTAAATTTGCTACATCAATTAAAGTTTCAATACCATTATCCGCTAAGATTAGTTCTTCTTCTTTACTAATTAACTGAGCAACCGTTTCTTCAATTACATTTTATCCCCCTCATTAGCAATTTTCTGTTTCTATTTATTTATTAGCCTCCTCGTAACTACTGCTCTTATAGCAGATCGTTTCTTTTTTAATTTTTCTAAATCCATGTTTTTGCTTAAGCAAATCTATTAAATTTCAGTTCAAATTCAACCCAATGGCCCCACGTTATGGCGCCACAATATTATTATTTTATATTCTTTATCTTACTTCTAACTAATTAATCAAGGTAAAACAAAACTGCTTACCTTGTTCCAATGGGTTCGGCCAGGGCCACTGGATGCATTCTTCTCAGGGACTCTATCTGCAAATCTTGAAAGGGATAATCCATAAATGATAAACTTTCTTAACACAAACATATTTAATGAAGACGCAAACGGTTACAGAATATTTGCATAATGAAAGGTTTAAATGTTCGCACGACGCACTCTGCGACTTCTCAGTTCCGAGTTCTCGTGATCTCTAGCGAGAGTTTATAGTTCGAGATGACGTCACTCAGCCATCGGATCTCAGCAAGAGTTGAGTTGCAACAACCTGTCCTTGGGAATGTAAAAAAGGTTCTACATTTTTAGTTTAATTGCTTCTCTCTTCTGGCATGCTTATTCACGAATTTTAAATTAATTATTGATACAAGCACACTGATTTAGTATCTGAAAACATTGGGAAACTCAAAACAAAGAATAATTTAATTATTCTTTGTTTTGAGTTGTGGATGGCAGCGATTTGTAAAGTAATTTAAAATGACATCTTTAGTTTTAAAAATTTTTTCTTTGAAACAGATATGATTTTTTTATATATTTAAGGTTTGAATTTAAGGATTCGAGCAGTACAACCAATAGCATATTATAAAAATATCTAATTTTATAATTTGCATTATGCGAACTGATTGATGTTAGTTTTATGATATTATGAGGTGAATGAGCTTTAAGGCAATAAATACCTATTTTAACTATTTATTTAGTTATTATTTAGTGCTTATTTTTATTTCCGCCATTAGCAATCCTATCACCATCTTGGTTAATATAATTCAGAAAGGGAAAGAGAAAAGAATGATGAAGAAAAAAGAAGGGCGAAGGTAAAACAAAGTATGCGACGTGGACGCACTTCAGATCGATGTTTAAGTACACCGATAATGTTTTCGAAAATGAGAGTAATGAAGAACAATCTGAGAGATATCATTGAGCAGTTAAAAAATTTTAGTTCTCTCCATGCGCTCTACGAGTTAATAAAACATTGATTAGTCAAAACTTTAGGCCCACCAACAGCCGAGAAGTTGCTGAATGCTACTATTTCGGACCTGACTTCGAATTCCAGCGAAGAGACTAGCTGCATGGGGATTTTCGTGGTAGTGTGCATACGAGCCAGGTTCCCTTAGAAATTTCCAGGAAAGCATTCCTTCACTTAGGCAAATAGTCCTCGAATACCTTGCCATAATTAACAAATCAGATCAAACACTTTAATTCCTTCCCTGCGTTTGGCGACCTATCATCAGCTACTTTTGTTGACCATTTTAATTTAAAGCATTATTCGATTCGTTAAAGTATGTGGAGTTACTGATTAAAACACAAAACAGCAACTTTAAGAATTAAATTGCATACTCGTGATCAGAGACTACATTAACAAAAAATGAACGACTTTGAAATATGTTTAATATGCAAGCAGAAAAAAAAAATCCTTATTGCAGTTTTAAAAAATTTCCTATTTAATTCATAAAATATTAATTCATAAAAACTTAAATTTGAAAAATGCTTTTTCGATCTCCTCGGACATCCAACATTTAGGTTGTACTTTCTTTTTCAAGTATATGCTATTATGTGTGTTAAAAGGCAGGTGGCTATGTCTTTGTATTTTCAACAATCTTGGACTAGATTGTTATTTTTACGTACTAACATTTACATGATTTAATTTTTCCCTTTTATAACATACTGTCATTTATATCTTCATAATACTTTATTTTTCATTTGCAGTTTTTAGACATTTCAAAGCTTTGTTAACTTTTGCAATCTGCGAATCAAATCAAATTTTGCAACCTTTCATTCAATACACGTATAGTCGCTTCAAGACTTCAATTACATTTGCTTCGTGTTTAATCTGGGTCTTACATAAAAGTTAGTGTATAACCTTATACTATTTTATATGCAATTTAAATATCATTAAAATGCCTCAAAACAAGCTAAAAAATGAGAGAATAATAATTTATTTCTTGCATGAAAACTAGTTTGGGAATTATTACAATGCATCAAAGCGCTTTTAAATGATTCACGAAAATCAGCTTCGCGATCTAAATTCTAAATGAAAAATTTTGCATGTCAATACTAATCGTTCAAGCCCACTTGTAGCGAAATCTCATGTCAAAGAGGACACACATATTCCGGCTAAATAACATTGTAGAATGTATCTCAACTTCAGTACATTTTTATTTATACTTGAATATTTATTGAATTTGGAAATATGTAAGGAGACACGCTCATCTCTGTAATTATATGACGCTAAATATATTTATATGTTTAACATTATGTAATTATAGGCAAAAGAATACAACATAATAATATATGCGAATACTGTAAAAATGTAAACATATATATTTAACGAAAGAAAATTTGATATTATTAATAATCATATGAATTCCGACATATGTTTGGTATTCAGATTCATTTATTCGCACCTAATTATAGTATTTCTATGCATCCATCATCAAAGAAGCAAATATCTGCGAGAAATCAATAAAGTATCAGAATAAA